CAGTCCAACCATGTAGCACATGAAAAAAAACCTTTTGTAGTACTGGGTATTTTTTAGTTTCTGCAGCAATTTTCGCTGCATTCAAGTTTAATCCAGAGGGAGATTCCTCTAAAAGTAGCACATCCGCTAACAAATCCATCCCTCGCGCTTCAGCTGCGTTGACAGAAGTCCATCGGCTGAGAGCATCTGCATTACCAATGCCTTTTCCAGGTCTGTATTTTATGTTATATTCATAACATGCCAATTTCAGAGACTATCGCAACATTCTGGGTGAAATCTGATCCGGAATAGGTTTCTTCGGAGTAAACAATCTAATTAGTCGCTTATGATCTGTAATGATACAAAACTTCCTTCCTAGTAAAAACTCATGAAATTTTGTAACCCCAAATATTATCGCTAAAGCTTCTTTATCAATCTGTCCATACCGTCGCTCGTGGGGTTGTAATGTTCTGGAGGCCATCATCACTGGTCGTTCTGACCCATCTTCCATCACATGGGCAATTATTGCACCCACACCATATTCAGACACATCACAGATTAACAATAATTCTCTTTCTAAATCATATCCAACTAAGGTTAAATCAGATGACAACAAATCCTTAGCTTTATCAAAGGCAACTTGCTCTAACGAACCCCATACCCACGGTTTCTTTGCTTCCAGCAATCGATACAACGGCTCCAGTATTGTGGCTTGGTTCATAATGAATTTTTCATAAAAGTTGTATAAACCTAAAAATGCCTGTAGTTCTCCTCTGTTCCTAGGTGCTGGTTTCTCCTTTATCTCTTTCACCTTAACAGGTGACGGGTGCAGTCATTCTGCACCAATCATATATCCTAAAAAACTTATCTGGTTTGATGCAAACACACATTTGTTCAGGTTTAACCTAAATCCCATTGCATTTAGTTTAGTCATGGTACTGCCCGCAGTCTTTGATCATATTCCTCCTTATTCTTTCCACTAACAACGACATCATCCAATAGACATGCTACTCCTTCCATACCTGCGAGTGCAGTCGACATCACACGCTGGAAGATTCCAGAAGCTGCGTTTACTCCAAATGCTAAACGGTTCATCTTCATTAACCCTAATGGAGTATTAAGTGTTAACAACATAGCTGTGTCCTCATCCACTTTCATTTGCATGTAAGCCTGTTTTAAGTCAAGCTTACTAAAAACTCTTCCACCACTTAATTTCACTAAGGACTCATTAGCAGCTGGTAATGAAAAAGTATCAGTCTTTATGGCTAAATTAAATAACTGTAGTCACCACATATTCGAAGCGAGCCGTCATCTTTTTTTACAATTCTTAATGGAGTAGCCCATTTGGAGTATTTTACAGGGGTTAATATCCCTTCATTTACCATGCATGTTAATTGTTCCTCAACTTGTTTTATCAGGGGAAACGGTATAAGATGTGCCTTCAAAAATCGTGGCAAGGCATCAGCTCGCACATTTAAGGACACTTGAGGGCCCTTATACTCTCCAAGTCCTCCTTTAAATAACTCCAGAAAGGCTTTTAATAATTCATCAATCTTATCATCTGTCCAGCATATGCCAGCTATCTCTAAACCCAACATTTTAAACCAGTTTCTTCCTAAGTGGCTAGGCCCACGACCAGAAACAGCCAGTAGCTCACATTGTGCTTCCTTGTTTCCTAATGATACTCGAACATGAGCTCGGCCTAACACCTTCAGTTCATCACGGGTCCACGTAACCAACTTCACGCCTGTCGCCTGTAAAGGTGGGGAACAGACCACAGCTTATAGTATGTATCTTCAGACATGATTGTTCTTGAAGCACCTGAGTCCACTTCCATGCTAACCACACCCTCGATAAAACATCTGCTTTAAATGGTGGTTGAATATTATCTGAGCAGACAAAGATACCCATCATCTGTTCAGATTTTTCATTTTCTATATCTGAAGTTGAACTTTCCTCCACCTAGTGCAACTTGCCAGATTTCTTCAAACAGGCCGGCGCAATATATCCAAACTTCCTAGAATAAAAACATTTTGCTTTTATAAAAGGACATCTTTCGCCCTCACTGTGTGACCGTGCACAATGACGACATGTGATCGCTTTAATTTTACCAATATCCATAGGTGCTATAGCTGTGGACGGAGTTTGCTTTAGCACACTTGTTTCCCGGTACAAATCTGAGAATGTGCCTTGATAGTTAAGGCTCAATTGCACTGCTAACTCATAAGTAAGATTTTTCGTCTTTAACAACTCACGACGGAGACGCTCGTCACACACTCCTACATAGGCTGCACTAAAAGTATCGGGAATGGAATATTTCCACTGTTCCTGTCATATTAAAATCTTTTTAATTGAAAAGTCCTTGGTTTTAAAAATCGAATACCATTTATTTATTTAAAAAAAAGATTCTCGGTCTTGTCACAAGGTTTTGTCAAACTTGTTAAGTCGTTGAGAAAATGGAATTGACTCGAGAAAATTCAAGAGCGATGTTTTATTATGACTTTCGAAGTGGTTTAACATAAAAACAGTGTGTTGACCGGATGATTTCTACATTTGGTGATGAAGCCCCATCCAAAATCACAATTTATCGCTGGTTTGCTGAATTTCAACGTGGACGTGTCAAGCTCAGTGATGATCCCCGTCAAGGTCGTCCAAAAACTGCAGTCACCCAAGAAAACGTTGATGCTGTGCGTAAGCTGATTGAGGAAGATCGACATGTGACATACCGCGAAATTCAGGCAACTATTTAGACATTGGCATGAGTCAAATACAAATAATCTTGCATGAACAATTAGGTGTAAAAAAGTTGTTTTCCCGATGGATACCGAATTCGCTCTGTGAAGAGCAAAAAGCGGCTCGCGTTATTTGGTGCGTCAGAACTCTCGAAAGATTCCACGCAGGATCCTCAAATGCTGTATACAACATTGTATCAGGTAACGAATCCTGAATACGCGTACGAATAGTACGAGTTTGGGTGTTTGAAAATGAGTTAAAGCCAACAAAAATTGTTCGTTCACGGAGTGTTGCAAAAAAATGGTGGCCACGTTTGTCTCCGAAACCGGCCATGTTACGACTATTCCTCTTGAGGTACAAAGAACGGTTAATGCAGAATGGTATGCTAGCATTTGTTTGCCACAGGTCGTTTCTGAACTCCTTAAAGAGAACTGCAACCGCCGCATCATCCTCCATCACGACAATGCGAGTTCTCATACCGCACACAGAACAAAAGAGTTTTTAGAGCAAGAAAACATAGAATTATTAGACCATCCGCCGTACAGCCCCGACCTCAGCCCTAATGATTTCTATACTTTCCCTAAAATAAAGAATAAATTGCGTGGACAGAGATTTTCATCACCTGAAGAAGCTGTGGACGCCTACAAAACGCCCATTTTGGAGACCCCAACTTCCGAATGGAATGGTTGCTTCAATAATTGGTTCCATCTTGTGAAAAAATGTGTCAAATTTCGCGGAGAATACTTCGAAAAGCAATAAATACATTTTTAAATAGTAATGTTGTGTCACTTCCTTGATTCCCGAAATTTTCAGTGTCGCCCTCGTAATACTAATCGGTCCCGTAGCTGCCTTTTTAAGTCTATAAAATTACACCTGGAACCCAAAGAGCCAATGGCCGCAATAAAGTCCTGAATACTTTCATTATGATTTTGTTGACGTTTATGAAATTTATCAGTTTGTAAAATTTCATTCACTTGAGGTTCATCGAATTGGCAAGCACTGCTAAAATGTATTTAAATGTCACAGAAGTCGGTCTTCTAGGCACCAACAATGAAACAATTAATGAATATGTTTCCTTTCCACATTGTGATGCGCGCTTTGTCAACATTATCGCCAATTACATCCGCGGCTTCCAGAGCACACAATAAACGTTCTTTATATTCATTCCAATTGTTAGTCCTGGGATCAAAATTTCCGGGAAACACCACATTTGCCAAATTACACGCTATATTACTGTTTAAACTAATTATTTTCCTCGTCACCATTAAAAGATACATGCCAGATCAAGTAGCAAAACAAAATCATTTAATCAAATCTACCTTACACAGATATTACAATTTTACCCTCAACATTATCAATACATAACAGTAACGACAAGGCTTTCAATATGTCTTAACTTTTGCAGTGCGTCTTCACTTTCCCCGACAGAAGATACATAGCGCCTTAAATTGCTTACTGCTGATAATGCCTCTGCGTTTGATGAAATCGGAATAGACTCTTCTTTATCTTCATCAACACTTAAGGCCTCTTTTTGGGTGTTATTCACACACCTTCAATAAGATCTTCGATTGAACGGGTTTTGTAGGACGCAACATTGTCATCAAGGAAGAATATCTAGAAAAACCCTGCTGTATCGCCGGTTCTTCTTCTAACACGACATTAGCTTTGTTATTTCGGGAACCTGCTTTCTTGAAACAATTTTGTATGGTTTCAGGCTTAATTGCTTGCTATCCCGCTGCAATGTTTAGGTTCGCATCATTCACAGTCAAGGGTCGTTTGCTGTTAGCGTATTCCGTTACTTTAAGATAGTGATGTATCAATTGTGTTCTGTAGCTTTGTTTAAGGACTTTTATAATGTCCTGATCCATCAGTTGTGACTTGCTTGTCGCATTCGGAGGTGAGAAAACAAGCTTGATGTTCTTTAGCTCAACATCGTTATGGTGAGCGGGGTAGTTATCAATGAAGTGAATTATGCGTGCTACTAGGCTCGGCTCGAGTGTTGCACAGATGGCGTTTTAGACGTGATGACGAATCGTATTAAGCGTGTTAAAAATGTATGAAAACATGCCTCAAGTTGCAGGGACTGATATGAAATGGCGTATTATGCGATAAATCCTATTAAACGTGATCATATTAATCGAGTTTTACTGTATTTCATATTCAGAATTTAAGCTCTTTGTTTTATGATTGACATTGTCAATCACAATTTGTTAAGCTATCCGGAATATTTAAGAAAAGGATAAATTTTACATTTTAAGTGTTGTCATGATTTTCAAATTTTCTTACAGCCCTGAACACCTTAAAACTGGCAAAGAATTAACACTTCTGACAAATGTTCCTGCATATGGCCTCCTTCCCAAGGATATGAATAAAAATAAAGATGGGGACATTCTTAATATAGTCAAGAAGTTTAAGTTACGGGTGGAAAGAGATAGAAGAAATCTGTACGTTAAGAAATTAAAGTATAGAGGGATGAGGCTTCTGCCACTTTCACAAGAGGTGAGTGATTTTTACCATACAACTCTTCATCCTCCGGTTTCGTCTGCGTAGGTTCGATCAAGACCCCAAAAAAAAAACACTTAAGTATTTTAGGATAAAATATAGCCTAGACCACACCTGGCATTGCTCTCTATCTGTTCGTAAAGTTTCAAAACAATTGGTTCAGCCATTCCGAAGATTAGCCCGGACAGTCAGACACATAGACAAAAACTTTAAATTTGGTTATTCATGTTGATTGGTGTCGTGAATTTTTTTTTTATTGAAGAGGAGGCAAACGAGCACGCGGCTCACCTGATGGTAAGTGACTACCGCCGCCCATTAACAACTGCAACACCATTTTTAGATTGCAGTTCCAATTGCAAGTGCTGCAATTGGAATTGCAGATGCGTTGCCGGCCATTTAGAAAGGTGTAAGCTCTTTTCATGAAGAAAGTTGTGCGAGGGAGAAAACTTCTTCTAAATCGCACAGTGGTGGACCGCCAATCATCCAGATGGTATGGATGGTATTGCGAGTTTTGTCGCGATATGCGATGATGAAATTGAGCGGTTGGAATTAGTCCGAACAATTCCTCAGAGCACTCCCCGTGATAAATGCGATGAAATACCCAAAGAGATGCAACATCTCTACGCAGTGCCAGTGTATTGAGCCGATCAGAAAGAATTCGGTCGTCGACGATTCGAACCGCTCTGCGCTGGATGCGGTCAAGTGGAAGGAGCTGGCACTGGGTTGCCCCAGCCCAGAGATGAGAACAGTATTGCATGTGAGGCCGAACTTGCGCTTTGTAAAGTTGCAAACGATGTACCGGCATGAAATACTGTCTCACTCTGCTGAGCACGCCAAGCTTTTTAGAGTCCAGTTTGGCCTTCCCTTCCAAGTGACCACGAAACTGCACACTATTCCATATGTCAACGCCGAGTATTCCGATGCTAGCTGAGGCAGCAAGGGGAGTGCCTTGAAACTGAGGAGATACGACAAAGGGGTTCTTTTTAGCGGTAAACGCGCAAACTTGAGTCTTCTGGTGATTGAACTGGACTAGATTTAGTCGCCCTCAATCCGAGACTTTGTTCATCAAAGACTCGACTTCCGACACAAGTTTCTCCCGGTACTCGGCGACGTTTTCCCGAGAAATATTGGCACGGCCGGAATATAAGGCATCACCAGTGCTGTCGTCTGCATAGCAATGAATGCTACCAGTTTGCAACATACTCCATCAGGCTCACTCGATTGCTGACGTCCAGGGAGAAGAGTGCTTTACGAACCGAGCGCTGTGTAAACCGCACATCCGGCATGGAGCACTCACATCGTGGGATGGTCGGCGGTGTTTTCCCCCCGTCACCTAGAGTCGAGTTGGACGCAGAGAGAGCTCAACAGATCGGCTTTCTCCTTTGCGGCATGGGCCAGTGAGTCATTCTTTCTTTGCAGAGATGGAAGAGATGGCTGATAGAAGTTCCCTTGGACAGCCTTGGCGAGAGACCAGAATGCACGGGTTCCCGAAGGAAGGCGAACTAGCTTCTCGCCAATTCTGCCGATGTGCTCAGACCTTGCCTTGGCAATGACGCTTTTGAAGGACCAGGAGGCGGAATTATACTTCTTTTTAAGAGCGCTGGGGTTTACATCCCGAGATGTTGATACGTCAGCTCAGGCCCGGTAGCACTCCTGCTTATAGCGTGATGCTATTTTACAGGAGCGACCAAACCATGGCTGGGATCTGACTCCGATGGGCACTACAGAGGATGGAATAAAAAGTTCCATACCCTGAAGTATCACATCAGCAACAGAATCGGCAACAACGCTGGGATCTTCCGGCGAGAATCAAACCCGACCCCAAGGATAGGATGCAAAAAATACCGCATCCCGTCCCAATCGGCTGACCTATAGTGCCAAACACTGCGGCAAGCTGCAAATCGCAACTGCGATTGGAGTGTGAGTGGCACCGTACTCCAGATCAGACAATGGTCCGAAGAGCCCAGAGGGGCATCGACGGAGACCTGATATCCGGATCTGAGGTCAGCAGAAGGTCCAACAGGGAAGAAACAGAAACAGAAACTTTTTTTATTCAATATAGATTATAAATAATACTTATTGAAAGTCACTCTTTTGTATAATTACCACTGGTTCGAAAAAAAACCTCTGTACCTGTGAAGGTACATGGGTCCTCCACATCTGGGATCCGTGTAGGCGAAGTAACCAGTTGCGTTAGACCATATGCCAAGGCAAAGTCATAGACAGATCTACCCGCATGATCGGTTAAACGAGAACCAAGCCATTAAGCGTGGTGGGCGTTAAAATCACCGAGTATCACGATCTCTGCGGATGGGACCTGTTGTAGCACGGAGTCTATAGCCATTTGGACGTGGTCGATGAGTCGGTCTGTGTCGGAATTACCGCTATAGGACCTATAGAGGCACCCGTAGACGCGGGGATGGTCGTCGCTGTCTACGCGCAGCCATAGGATGGACAGGTCCGTACCTTCAAGACTGCCGAGGAGTCGAAAACAGATGTCCTCTCTGACGTATACGCATACTCCAGCCCGGGGTCCACAAAGTAGTGTTCTAATTTGTACCCCGGGTAGGAGAGGTATGAAGTATCAGCTGGAGAGGACACCTAAATCTCGGTTAAAAAGAGCAAGGCCGGCTTCGCCGTCTCTAGATGGTAATGGACAGCGTTAAGTTTGAAATGAAGTCCCCTGATGTTGCAAAAATTCACGGTTAGCGTGACAGGGGTCGCCTTGGTTTTATTGCTGCGCTTACCCCGGGCAGTATTAGTCGCGAGCGGAATTTTGCTCCCCCCAGAATACGCGGGGCAGCCTGAGCACCCACGCTCAGGAGTGGAGTAGTTTGGTCGTGGGTGCTCAGCGAGGAATTCTCCAGGGGTGCTGGTACCCTCCTGGGGTAGTCTTTGATGCAATTCCGCTACCATGTTGATGGGGGGGGGGGGGGGGGTGGAGGGAATTGGGCCTCCTTTCGCCTGCACCAACCTCTACTTCACGCTGGTATTCTGTGAGGTCGTGGTACCACCCCGGTTCGAGCCGGCCCATCCGTGCGATAGCAAATGCTGCCGCGTGGCTCTACCACTGTTTTCTGAAATGGTTCATAGATTTAACGGAGGTGACTCAAATGCTGTATTCGACATACTTACGGGTGGCGAAAGCTGGCTTTATTGTTATGATCCTTAAACTGGGACAGTCTGCTGTCTGGGTGTTTCCTTCCGAGGAGTTGCCAACTGAAGTGAAGAGAGGTCGAAGCGTGGGAAAAAATATGGTGGCGTCGTTCTTCGGAAGGACAGGTCATTACGCAGTAATTGTTTTAGAGGATCGAAAAACAGTTACTGAAGAGTGGAAAAAGTTCGGGAGGAACGACCTCGCAGTAGGATCCTCCTTCACCACGACAACGCCTCGTCGCACACCGCAAAGCAAACAATCGACTGCTTGGCGACGTCACACGTGGAATTACTGGGTCACCCGCCCTATAGCCCCGACCTTGCACCTTGCGATTTTTCTTTTTTTCCGAAAATAAAAGAAAAACTTCGAGGAAAACGTTTTATGGACGTGGCAGCGTTTCAAAATGCCCTAAGGACGAGTGGGCAAAGTGCTTTTCTCAATGGTTCCATCGGTTGCAGCAATGTATTGATATAAATGGACACTATTTTGAAAAGATATAATAGAACTAATAACTTGCTAGTTTGTTCAGTTTTTGATATTCTAAGAACTTTCATATCACCCTCGTATATAAGGAATTATTGCTTAATTCTCCCAAACATTCATAGAGGCCAAATTTTACAGAGACTTTTGTTCTGAGTAAGTCTCTTTTTTATAAAAAGGAAGTGACAAAAAATCTTAAAAGTCCACCTGATGGTGACTGGCTACTGCAGTCAATTTCAAACAAAGAAGGCTGCAGAAGGAGCTTTATCACCTTTGAGGATCAAGATAGAATGCCTCGTAACCTGCAATTGCTTTAGATCTCAGTACTCTTCAGAATACATTGAATACAGCAGTGTAGAGACTGTTTGGAGGACTACCCATAAGGACTCCAAGCAAGAATAGGAGTCCTACAACATTCTTACGTTGCGGAGTTCGAGAGAGTTCTTCAGGTTCAGCAACCTGCCATATGCAGTTAAAGCTTCAGATTGTATATGTATGTAATATAATGTATCATTAATAAAGACTCCTATAAAATTGGTTTCTGAGCCATTAGTGTCCGTCGAATTTTTGCATTTCTTATCAGGTGGTCACTATCCAGGTCTAGCCAGAAGGGCCCCCCTTCTCCACCCTGCTTACCAGTACAAAGCTGCCATTCGAGAACCTTCCTTTGTCATCAGTATTCGGTTCTTTCAGCTATATTGCTGGCTCATTGCTACTTCAGCTTGATTGGTTGTGTTATGACAGTCTTTTGATGGGTATTATGTTTACTTGATAATAATCATTATAATTGTATCAGATATGTGGTCATTAGCAGTAAAAGGTGCTAATCTTTATTTCAGGACCCTGAAGATGTGCAAGTGTCAAAGGGGCCACAATTGGAGCCGGGAAAAGACTTGTTGTTTCGAGTTCGCTTTTATAGGCCGTTTTTATGTGGCAAAGAAAGAAATGTAAGTTCTTAATTATTAATTTAAATTGGACCGTGTTGTGTAGACATAATCCAATGTAAACACTAGACAAAATAGTGATCTCTTTTTCAGTTTATTTTAAGTTACAGTCTATATATGTCCCACTGCTGGGCAGAAACCTCCTCTCACTTCTGAGGCGGGTGTTAGGGCAAGGCAGTGTCCGCCGCGCTGACCCCACATGTGTTGGCGGAAAGCCGTGGTAGCTCAGCGGGCTTAGCGCTTGCTGTGTATTTCACAGTACGCGAGCAACCCGGGTTTTTCTTTATTGAATAAGTGTGACAAATGAGCACACAGTCCACCTGATGGTAAGTGGATGATGTGTATATCTTTGTTTGCACATTAAAATGCAGATGCATTGTCAGCCGTGAGGACTAAGATAGAATGTCTCTTTTTAGTAAAAAGGGTCTTCAGTTCTTTACACTCACCATACGAAACACAGCCAGTGTTAAGCTGCTATTTTACGCTGGTATTCTGTGAGATCGTGGTCCTTCCCCGGTCGAGCCAACCCATTCATACTACAACTATACTATTAATATAGCTGCAGCATGGCTTTCATGGTTTCTCATGGGTTAGCTCAACAGGGGAAGGATCACGCTTTCACAGAATACTAGCGTAAAATGGCAGCTTAATTCTGCTGTGTTTAATATGATGAGTGTAGAGAACCAGAGACCCTTTTTCTCTGGAGACCAAAGCATTCCATATTAATCCTCATTGGCTATTTTTTTTAAAAACTTTACCTCCACATTAGGATTTTCTCATGTATCGTAGAGGCAGTTAACAAACATAAATTGTGCAGGGACAAACATCCAGACCCGGAACAATTATTTGTACGCCATACAGATATTTGTTTCGTGCGGGATTCGAACACGCGGCCGCTAGCACTGCAACTCATCGTTAAGCCACTGCGCTAAGGTGTAGTCACAACAGTGACAACGCATTAGCAGTTGATTCTTATTCGAGGATAGATGTCAATAGGCCACACCATCCATATATCATGATATGTGAAACGTGTGCTCGTATGTCATTGTTATTTTTATAAAGCCACGGGAGGCGAGGTCGATGTTGTAGGCGCCATATTAAGTGTGGTGGTGGATGCGCAGAACTCGCGGCACTCGGTGTTCAGCTGCGACGCGGTGATGCCGGGCTGCGGCGCGCTGGCGGCGCTGCGCGAGCGCGTGGTGTGCGCCAACGACGCCACCGTGCGCCTCGACGTGGCCGCCGCGCCCCACCACCTGCCCGCCACCACCGCCCGGGTACCCACCGCCACCACTTCCTTACTTACCTATTGTCGCACACACCCTTCACATATACACAACAATGTTATAATAAATAGGACATTCATTTAAAAATATTTAAAAATTATATGTATTATAAGCAACAACTACGCTTACGCGCGCTCCTGTGTGTATCATTCAATTGACGTTTTCGTTTCTCAAGTTTTGCCTATTGTTTACTTTCTTAGTGATACGATTACTACTAATGCTTAAGTTAATAACTACATGACGCTAATTATGATTCCAATTTTTCCTTTAAACTTTTAAAGGACTTAGGATCGTCATAATAAAAAAAAATATTTTTGCTTATCAACGACGTAACCGACGACTATTATTATGACGTATTTAAAAAAATAAAATAAATTATTTAGATAGATAGATAGATAATTCTTTATTGTACACCAAATCAATACATAAACGAAAGAAAAAGAAAAAAAATAGTGACACAATGGGCGGTCTTATCGCTAAAAGCGATTTCTTCCAGACAACCTTTGGATGGACAGGATTACAAAAAGCAGAAAATTGTGTGGTTTGGTGATGCAGAGACAATATTTATAAAGATTTAATTATAATATATAGAAATAAATAACAAATAAAGACATAAAATACGAATGCACACATATATATATATATATATATATATATATATATATATATATATATATATATATATATAGATGGCACGAATTCAAAGGTTAAGATAGTGGTTGTGTACAAACTTCTGAAAAACAGATAAAGATTGGGCGCGTCTCACTGACAGAGGTAGTGCATTTCATAGACGGACTGCTTGGATAGTAAACGTCCTGTCCAAAAATTTGGTATTATGGGCAGGCATTTTTAATGTTAAATTTTCTGATGATCTCAAAACCTTCGAATGGGAATAGTGAAGGAATTCAAAGCGATCCTTAAGATAAGAAGGATAGGAAGGATTAAATAGAACATTGTAAAGAAGTGACAGAATATGAGCATTCCGGCGAAGACAAATAGGAAGCCACTTGAGCTTATTACGAAAACAAGAAACATGATCATTCTTGCGCAAACCAAATATGAATCTTATACAAAAATTTTGAAGACGCTCAAGTTTATCAAGTTGCTTTTCGGTGAGATCAAGATAGCTGACATCTGCATAGTCCAGAATCGGGAGAAGCAGAGATTGTGCAAGCGCAATTTTAGTGGCAGTAGGCAGAAAGTTCCTTAATCTGTTCAATGATCGAGCAGCTGCAAAGAGTTTACGACTAACTTCCTGTATTTGAGGACCCCATGATAGGTTACTGTCAATATAAATTCCCAAGTCTGACTTTTTCACTAAGAGGAATAAAATTTCCATCAAAAACAACTTGAGGTGATTGAGAAAGGTTTGATTTCCCAATCATATTCGAACTTCCGATTACAATTACCTGAGTCTTTAGAGGGTTAATCTTTAAGCCATATGTTTTTGCCCAATCTGATATTTGCTCAAGGTCACTATTTATAGTACTAATAGCTACATATAGTTCACTAGGAGAAACATGAGTATATATTTGAAGATCATCTGCGTATAGGTGGTAGGAAGAAGTAATCTTAGTAGCTATAGAATTAATAAAAATTGAAAAAAGTAAGGGAGATAATACGCCACCCTGCGGGACACCAGCAATGGTATCACACCAAGAAGAAAATGTGTCATCAATGCGAATACATTGCCGGCGCCCAGACAGGTAACTTTGAAACCAACCAATCACTGTTGGAGATATGTTAAGAGAACCAAGTATACCCAGTAAAATTTCAAAATCAATTGAATTAAAGGCATTGCTAAAATCTAACAGAGAAAGAATAGTTAATTTGCCATTTTCCATGGCAGATCTTATATCTTCCGTAATATTGACTAAGGCTGTGACAGTACTATGCCCAGGACGAAAACCAGATTGTAGAGGATTTAGAAGGGAATTATTGCGAAGGAAAGCACTGAGCTGATTATATACCGAAAAAGATGTAGGGTTGGGCTTTTTAAGCAACGGTATGATGTGAGCGTCTTTCCAAGTTGATGGAAAAACACCACAAGAAATGGAGGAGTTGAGGATATGGCAAAGTATTGGGATGATTATGTCAAGAACCGGAAGGATCATATTACGGCTGATACAGTCGCTGCCAATTGCATTTGAAGTAATGGATAGAATACTCTTCTTAACATCACAAGCAGAGAATTGATTTAGAACAAAAGATGAATGATCAGGAGTTGGAAGCGATGAAAGAAAATTTAATGTGTTCAATTTTGTAGCTCCATTTAAGTTGGAGGAGGATGAGAAGTGATGATTTAGTAAATCAATATTTAAGTTTTTAGAGAGTACAATATTACGGGACTTTCCAACCCCCATTGATCTAAGAAAACTCCAGACTTTAGCTGTATCACCAATTTGTACCGATTTATGGATATAGTGGCGTTGAGCATCCCTACACACCCTATCGCAGTGATTTCGAATACTAACATGTTTTCCCCAGTTTATAGATGTAGGCTTACATTTATATTTTGTCTTGGCTGCAGTTTTTTTATTTAAAATGGTTTTTATTTCATCAGTTAGCCATGGTGAAGGAAGATGTCTCATTTTAATTACGCGAACTGGTGCGTGTTTATCATAAAGACAGGTTAATTTAGTCGTAAATATTGCAACTTTATCGTCAATAGAGTCTGCACTTAAAACGGCTGACCAATCAATGTTGGAAGCATCTTTGCAGAGATTTTCAACATTCATACTACGGAAACTGCGTTGCAAAAGGAATTTAGACTTAAGTTTAGGTGGCCGGACATTATAAGAGAGAAATATAAGATCATGGTAAGAGAAGGCATCGGCTGGACACTGACCATGCTTAACAGCGAAGTCAGAAGAGGACACAAAAATAAGGTCAAGCAATGACGGAGTAGCATTAGGGAAATGATGAGTAGAATTTAAAGGTAAAATAGAGAGATTAGTGGAATTTACGATGGATCGAAGAGAGGATGAACGAGAGTCTTGTTTAAGCAGACAAGTATTAAAGTCGCCCATAATGATCGTGTGCGAGTAGGAAGATACATTTTCTAAAATATTTTCGAAGGAAGTGAAGAAGTCGATACGAGATGAAGGACAGTAATATACACCCAGAAGAATTTTAGTATGACTAAGCTCCACCTCAATAAAAAGATGTTCACCTGCATTAGGCGGAGATGGTTGAGATGACATATCAACAACAGAAAAGGGAATATACGCTCGGAGATATATTGCCACACCACCACCACCGCCCACAGTACGATCATTTCTTATGAGATAAAAGCCAGGTAAAGAATAATTAGTGGAAGGGAGACAAGGTTTAAGCCATGACTCAGAAACGAGAATAGCATGAATATCCTTAGAGTTAAAGGTAGCCAGCATATCTGAAAAGTGAGCCGGAATGCTTTGGGCATTTATGTGAACAACGTTGAAATTTTTGGGAACATCAGAAAATTGTGAAGCTAGTATTTCAGAGAGAGGCTGTAAGCTAGGGACACTGTCACCATCACTATCTGTGGTTAAATATGTTTCAGTATCACTACTAATGTCTAAATAAGACATTACAAAATAAAAATTTATATCTATATAAAATAAAATAAAATATAACATATAATAAATACAATACCTTAAAAAAAATAAGTTAATAAATTTTCTAAAACTAAAAACAAATAAATAAAAAATACTTTAGTGTCCACCTGCCAGTTGAGTGTTTCGTTAAATTATCTGTACAACACTAACAATAAATGGAAATTGTCTAGGCAGGAAAATTTGCAATAAAAACGCAGTATTTAACGCGCGCTTTTGGCCTCGATATCAAGGGCACCTTCCCTCTCCCCCGCCCCCCCGGCCGCCGGGGGGGCGGCGTGGCTCTTCTCGCGAGGTAGTAGGATTTTTCTTGCGAACTATACGGACGTATTTTTTCGCGCCTAAACTTGCTAAAGGAACAATCCGCGTAAATCGTTGCAATAACGGTATCGTTATTAGAACGTACTAACTCGGTGAAATTCGCGCGCAACTATCAAAGTGATTTACATCTGAAGGACTACCAGAGTAGCCGTCCCATTTGGTGACAACCCCTTACGAGTGCCTCCAGAAGGGTGAAGTTCCGGGGATACCAGCGCGTGCCTTCTCCCGGACGTCGTCGTGTCATCCAGATCGGTTCCCGTCAACATACCAGCACACACAATTACACCTACACTCACCACACCGCACACACCAAGCACAACTTTCATCAGCCGGGCCGGTCGAGGAGAACCGTCTGCGCTCCTGGAGCAGGTAAGTGCATTTATTCTAGTGACCTTTCCCCTCGTGTATTCATTAGAAACCTTTGACCCTCGGCGTAGGAACGCCCGACCTGCATCTGCCCGTGGCTCCTTCGTCTATGGGCCGCGAAGGATCCAACTCCTGTTGAGGCAGGGCAGCTGTTGGCCGTAACATTTGGTAGCAGAACGCGGTGCTGGGATCGATTCCCGGTCGATCCACCGACCATAGTATTTGATAAAAATTAAATAATTTGGTGGCAGGAGCGTTGGGTGGATTTGTGGCTACAATCACGCCCGTCCGTAATACGTAAAATACCTTTTTATTATTATACGTAATAATAAAATTCCTTCCTTTGTTAGCTTGCTTTACTGTTAGCGGGTAAAATTGAAAGGTCACACCCGGTTCGCGCGCAAGCGGGAGATTGCGTCATGTAGGTAGATGGTTATTTTTACGTAATCGGTTAATTGTCGTTGTCGGATGGTAGTGTGTTACTTATCGAAGGGTTGATTTCCGAGCAAGGCATTTTTGTTGATGTGTATCTTCGTTACATATCTTTCGTATTGTAAATTGTATTTGAACTAAAGAGTGGTAATTTGTATTTACGTAATTTAAATGAACTTGATTTGATCGTACTAGTATTTGTTATTGTTGATTTGATTTACCTTTTCCTTTGTACTAACTTGTGTTTGATTTAATAATAGCTGTTCTTATTTGTGT